GACAAAGGGATCTTGAAGTGCAAAATGCTAAGCTTAAGGCAGAACTCCACATAGCTCATCTGCTGGAGACCAGATCTCACAGATCCACCTCAACCAAGCACACTGCACCTTGTTCTCGATCCTCTCGCTCCAGAAATTCAATATCTAATGATAAGCTTATTGATGCTGAAGCAAAAAAGGTGCAAAGCTCCTTAGTCAGAAAGCAAGCAGAGGAAGAAGCACAAATAAAGATTCTGCAAATGGAAGGTGAGAAAGCAGCTTCCCTGGCAAGGTTAAAAGTCCTCGAACAAGCAATGAGACAAAGCACTAATCTGGACTGTCTTATCCCAGCAGAACTGGAAGATCCAGTTGAACGCACCAGTGAATATATACTAAAGCATAACATTTGCAAGGATACAGAGTCATCTCCTGTACTTCCTACAAACAACACTGTTCTAACTCTCAACACGGAGACCTCCCAACACAATATGCCCGAGCCTCTTCAAGTCTACAATGCAGGTACATCTATGCAGCCAACCACATCTTCTCCTGCAAACAACAATGTGACTTTCGGTGACAAGCTGCATCTGAAGCCACCGCCAGCACAAGCCTTAGAGACTAAGCCAAAGTTAAACGCTCATGCTACATCATTCTACCCTGGCGAACCTCACCCTACATCACCAGAGAACTTTCACAACCAAGGGGTTCCACAAGTTACTTTGGTACCAAAGAGTGAGAAATCAGATTTGAATGACTTCGCCAGATATATGGTGCGCCGTGAGCTCATTAACACAAGCCACTCAAGGTTTGACGATAGTGCAGAGAGCTACAGGGCCTGGAGAGCAACATTCAAGGCTGCTATTGCTTACTGCTAGGGAAGAACTTGATTTGATCATAAAATGGTTGGAACCAGAATCTTCCGATCGTGTTAAAAGATTGAGAACAGTACATGTTGACCACCCAGATGCAGGTCTTTCTGCTGCATGGGCAAGACTTGAGCAAACTTATGGTAGTTCTGAAGCCATAGAAAGTGCTCTATTCAAGAGACTGCAAAACTTTCCAAAAATATCAAACAAAGACCATCGCGAGCTGCAAGATCTAAGTGACCTCCTCATGGAGTTGGAGTTGGCAAAGAGAGATCCACGTCTACCTGGACTAAGCTTCTTGGACACTGCTCATGGTGTCAACCCAGTGGTGTCTAAACTGCCATACAGCCTACAAGAGAAATGGGCTCAACAAGGATCAAAGTATAAAAGAGACTATAATGTATCTTTTCCTCCATTCTCATACTTTTGCAGGTTCATTAGTGATCAAGCTTGGATGAGAAATGACTTCAGCTTCAGCGAACCCAACATGCCTGCTTCATCCTCATCATCATCAAGGTATGATAACACAGCACCTAAACGTAGAGACTTTAATAAAGCAATATCTGTCAAGAGGACAGACATCTCACCCTCCGTCACCTCACCTAGTGATGAGTGCGTGGTCGACAAAGATAAAGACCCTAATCGCCAGTGTCCTATTCACAAGAAGCCTCACCCTCTTAAGAAATGTCGTGGACTTAGGGCAAAGACTCTAAAAGAACGCAGGGAGATTCTCCAGAAACTTGGAATATGCTTCAAGTGCTGTGCCTCTTATAGCCACCTTGCTAAAGACTGTGAAGCCCTCATCAAGTGCACAGAATGCGGCAGCGACAAACATGTTACAGCCATGCATCCTACTCCACTTCCAGACAAGTTACAGCAGCCACCTACCTCCTCACCTGCCTCAAGTTATGGCGGGGAGCTACAAAGTCATGCTCCAGCCAAGAATAACGTTCTCTCTTCGTGCACAGAAGTCTGTGGAGAAGGCTTGGATCACAAATGCTGCGCCAAGGTATGCCTAGTCAGGATATACCCAAAGGACCACCCTGAGAAAGCTACTAAGATGTATGCCATAATAGATGAACAGAGCAATAGATCCCTGGTTAAGCCTAAATTCTTTGAGATCTTTTGCAAAGAGGGTCATCCCACACCGTATACTCTTAGAACCTGTTCTGGTCGTGTAGAGGCCTTTGGCAGAAGAGTGGATGGGTTCATGGTTTCTCACATCAAAGGGGGACAGGGTATACCCCTACCAACATTAGTTGAGTGTGACCAGATACCAGATGAAAGGCAAGAGATTCCCACTCCAGAAGCCGCATATCACCATCTTCACTTAAGGCACCTTGTTGATGAGATTCCTGCAATGGACATGAATGCTGAAATTTTGGTTCTCCTAGGAAGAGACATCCTCAGAGTACATAAAGTCGCGACCAGTGTGATGGACCTGACGACGCCTCTTATGCACAAAGACTTGACCTAGGCTGGGTAATAGTGGGCGATGTATGCATAGACAGGAAGCGTACGTCATCCAAGATCCGCTCCTTTAAAACTTACATACTGGGGAATGGACGTGCCTCCCACTTCAGACGATGCCCTCGCCGTTATGAAGTAAAGGAAAAACCTTTGTTTTTCGATTGAAGACAAAGAATTCAGCAAAATAATGGACAAAGAATTCTTCCAGGATGAGTCTAACAGCTGGGTTGCGCCATTACCTCTTTGAGCAGCAAGGGCCAAACTCCCTACCAATCGTGAACAGGCTGTATCCAGATTGAATTTACTTCAACGAACACTAAAGAACAGACCTGAAATGAAGGATCATTTCATCGCTTTCATGAAAAGGATCTTCGACAATGATCATGCCGAACCAGCGCCACCACTTCAAAGTCATGATGAGTGCTGGTACCTGCCTTTCTTCGGAGTGTATCATCCACGCAAGCCCAAACAAATCAGGGTAGTATTTGACTCCAGTGCTAAGCATCAAGGCGTATCCCTGAACGACATTCTACTCACAGGCCCGAATCTAACCAACAACCTTGTAGGTGTACTCATGAGGTTTAGAAGAGAGCCAGTTGCAATAACTGCCGACATTGAGCAAATGTTTCATTGCTTCATTGTACGCGAAGACCATAGGAACTTCCTAAGGTTTCTGTGGCACCGTAACAACTACATGGACAATGAGATCATAGAATACCGCATGAAAGTTCATGTCTTCGGGAATAGTCCCTCACCCGCTGTTGCAACATATGGTTTACGAAGGACTGCCCTTCAAGGAGAAAAGGAGTATGGCAGTGACGCTCGACACTTTGTTGAGAGAGACTTTTATGTTGACGATGGGCTTAAATCTTTACCTACAGATGAAGAAGCCATAGATCTGCTCAAGAGGACACAAGATATGCTCTCTGAGGCTAACCTCAGACTACACAAGATTGCCTCAAATAGTGTTGCCGTCATGAAAGCCTTTCAACCTGATGATCATGCCACAGGGTTTAAAGACCTTAATCTCGGAATGGACATGCCACCTGAACAGAGAAGTCTGGGCCTACGGTGGGACTTGTCAAAGGATACCTTCGGCTTTCAAGTCAGCTCTACAGACAAGCCGTTTACCAAGCGTGGTGTTCTGTCAGTAGTAAATAGCCTATATGACCCAATGGGATTTGTTGCTCCCATTACCATACAAGGCAAATCCTTGCTTAGGCAATTCTCAGAGACTATTAAAGATTGGGATGCCCCACTGCCATCAGACAAGCTTCCTAAGTGGGAGTCCTGGAAATAATCTCTAGGTGCCTTAGATGGAATCCGTATGCCACGCTGCTACAATTCAGCTTCCCTCACTACGAGTCAGAGAAAAGAACTTCACATCTTCTCAGATGCATCAACTGAGGCTATAGCAGCTGTTGCCTAACTCAAGGTAAGAGACTCTTCTAATCAAGTCCACATAGGGTTTCTGTTTGGGAAAGCTAAGTTAGCACCTAAGCCAGAGCACACAATCCCTAGGCTTGAACTTTGTGGGACTGTTCTAGCTGTAGAAATTGCAGATTTCATACTACGTGAGCTGGACATTGTGATAGACGACATCAAATTCTACACAGACAGCAAAGTTGTTCTGGGTTACATATACAACCAGACTAAACGTTTCTATGTGTATGTCAGCAACCGCATTGAAAGAATCCGGAAATCATCTAAATCTGAACAATGGCATTATGTCCCATCTGAAATGAACCCTGCAGATCATGCCACCAGGCCAGTATCTGCAAGTGCCTTTGCTAATTCTTCTTGGATAACAGGTCCTGAATTCCTGCTGGATCAGCCAGAAGAAACCACAGCTGATGTCTTCAGTATCCTAGAACCTGACAAAGATCCAGAGAATCCAACCATCCTAACCCTAACTACTCTGCTTACCCAAAAGCTTGGGTCCATTCCTGTCCCACCCAGAAACTTAAACTCAGGAAACTCGCGCTATGACCAGTGGAAGCGAGTGCAACACCTCGCCAACTGCTTCTGGAATCGTTGGAAGATGGAGTACCTTTCTACTTTGCAAGGACGCAGGAAATGGCAACACCCAAATCCTAACATTAAAGTTGGAGATCTTGTTCTGCTCAAGGATCAACAAGCTGGAAGACTCGAGTGGCCTATGGGACGTATTATAAAGAGTGTTTCTAGTGATGATGGCAAGGTACGCAAGGTGGAGGTGAAAGTTGCAAGACAAGGGACTGTAAAGACCTTCATCAGACCTATCACTGAACTTATTCTGCTCTTGCCCTTTGGAGAATGAACTTACTTGCATATGTTGCTTGTCCCTACCTTTGATTTCAAGAAGGAAGAGTCTTGGACGTTAATGTTAACTTGAAGTTGTTGCATTTTTTGCATGATTTTTCTTTATGTCTTTCACGTTCTCAAGACATCAAGCAAATTGCACTGTTGTTTATTTGCACTTGTATAACTACCGTTATGGTATAAAATAGTGACATTTACAATGTCAGACGGGGAGTGTGCTGTTACACAGTTAATATTCTCATTATTGTAGATGCAATTTACATAGCATATTCTGTGATTTATTTACCTTGTATTTTTCTATAGGTAGGTATTTGCTGCCTCCTTCTGGCCCTTTTTGGTAATGCCCTTGTTCCTCCTGTGAGCATTATACATCATTTCCTTGTATGTAAAACTCCACCCCTGCTCTGGCGGTACTTCCTGTGTCATGGCTGATTGCATTTGCCTCATGTAACTGGGACTCTTGTATCCCACATGCTAAGCTAAGGAAAGCATCATCTTTTGACCGCATAATACTGAAATCCATTCATTTTGCTGTATTCCTGTTGTGTGATGTTCAGAATAAACCAGCTTTTGAATGAAACCAGTATTGGTGAGTTCAGCTATCTGAGGAGGATTGTCCGCAGTGACCGTACCTGCTTATACAGGCCAGGCACAGAGGTTCCACAAGGGTTAGATCACTATCACAGCAATCCGAGTCAGAATAGTCTGTGTGTTCCTGGATGACATTGCGATCCTGGGAGGAACACTTAATTCATGTGGGGACCATGCTGGATCAGATTCGGGTCGCCGGCCTCCCCCTGAAACTAGACAAATGCCACCTTGGGATGGCAGAAGTCCAGTACCTGGGACACTGGGTGGAGTGTGGGAAACAGCGAACAGAACCCACTAAGATTGAGGCGGTCCTAACTGGCCTACACCTCGCACCAAGACCCAATGCTGACGGGTTATCCTGACAAATGGAACTCAGCCCGTAGCAGAAATCCTGACATCCCCAAGGTGACCCGAAAAATGTCAAGCTGGGTCTGCCGGAGTGTTCTACATAGAGGGAGCATTGTAGCAGATCCTTCTTTTCCTAGATGATAATTTTGCTTTGACTAGATCGGTAAACGAACCTAACTGAACAGATTGCCCCATTCGGTTCGTATACCGAACAAAGTACCAAACACATGGACCACCCACAACAGTCTTGTGCTGCTAGTTGACCCATTTGACCTCACTAACACTTACACAAACCACAAACACTTGAACGTTCTAAGTGGTCGGCTGGATGGTCACCGTTCGTATGGACGAACACAAGGCGGTGGCCATCTTGTTTTGACGAACGCTTCCAGCGTTGTTTGATCATCGAGTGTATGGAATTATTATCGGACACTCAACGACCCGAACACCGCTGAGACTTACACTCTCACCATGAATGTTCCTATTCATCTAAAGAAAGCGGCGTTCAGGGAAACAAAACTCCTGAATGAGGGGCACACGAACTGCTACTTTTGGTATTTTGTTGTGTTTGAAGCTCCCGAAAGAGACTGACCGCACAACCTGAATCTATGGAACAATTTTGGGCAGGAGCCTTGTGTGTGGTCGGTCAGAAATAAGACTTCCATGAAAATCCTGAACCCCTAAACCGATCTGGGCGATTTTTGGATATGTTGCTCACCCAGATTGGAGCTATCAGGGGATATACGTTTTGTGGGGTTTATGTGAGTTTTTGTGGTACTTTTGGGTTGCCTGTAAATTGTTTTCTTTTTCGCCTGGAAATAATTGAGTTAATACAGTACTTGACTCAATTATCTGTCAGGCAGAGGGGAGGGTTTGTATGATATGTATGGGAGTGTCATGTATTGTAACCCTGTTGTCATTGGTCTGTGACTTTGTAATACAGTCTTCCATCAGGTCCAGGTGGGAGTACCCCTTGCATGGGGATTGTCATAAAAGGCCAAGTGTGGTCCCATTAAAGTCAGTTCACTTCACCCTCAACACGCAGCCTCGTCTCATGATTGTAGGGAACCACTATACTTGCTATAACAAGCAGTTATTACCCTACATTGAAAGATTATATCCTTGAATATTCTGTTCTTGCAAGTATGCATCTAGTAGCCGTTTGAACATCTGTATGGACTCTGATAAAACCACTTCCTCAGGCAGAGAATTCCACATTCTGATTGTTCTTACAGTAAAAAAAACCTTTCCTTTGCCTTAGACGAAATCTTCTTTCTTCCAGTCTAAACTCATGGCCTCGTATCCTATGTAAAGTCCGGTTTGTGAATAGATTTCCACACAATGGTTTGCATTGGCCACGAATATATTTGTATAATGTTATCATATCCCCTCTCAGGTGACTTTTTCTAAACTAAATAGGTTTAAATTTGTTAACCTTTCTTCATAGCCGATAAGTTCCATTCCTTCTATTAATTTTGTAGCCCGCCTCTGCACTTTTTCTAGTGCCATAATATCCTTCTTTAGAACAGGTGCCCAAAATTGCACAGCATATTCAATATGGGGTCTTACCAGTGATTTATAAAGAGGCAAAATTATATTCTTGTCCCGAGAATGAATGCCCTTTTTCATGCATGACAATACCTTACTGGCCTTGGCCACTGCTGATTGACATTGCACATTGTTGCATAGTTTGTTGTCTATAACAATTCCCAAGTCCTTTTCATGTGTTGTTATCCCTAATTCGCTTCCATTAAGGGTATACGTTGCTTGTGTATTCTTTACGCCGAAGTGCATAACTTTGCATTTTTCAACATTAAATTTCATCTGCCATTTGAGTGCCCAGTCCCCCAGTCTATCTAAATCCCTCTGCAGCAAAGTAATATCTTGCTCACATTGTATTGTTTTACAAAGTTTGGTGTCATCTGCAAACACTGAAACATGACTTTCAATGCGGTCTTCAAGATCATTTATAAACATGTTAAATAGAAGGGGTCCCAGAACAGACCCCTGAGGGACACCACTTGCCACCTCTGTCCAGCTTGAAAATTTACCATTAATGACAACTCTTTGTACTCTGTTTTTAAGCCAATGTTCTACCCAAGAACAAGCATTTTCATCTAGACCGATTTCCTTGAGTTTGAACACTAATCTATTGTGTGGAACTGTATCAAATGCCTTGGCAAAATCCAAATAGATCACATCCACGGCAACACCCTGATCTATACTTCTACTTACTTCTTCGTAGAACGCAATCAAGTTAGTTTGACATGACCTGTGCTTCATAAAACCATGCTGATTTTTGCTGATAACCATGTTCTTCTCAAGGAATTCTTGAATATTATCCCTTAATAACCTTTCAAATATTTTACCAGCCACAGAAGTTAAGCTCACAGGTCTATAATTTCCAGGCAAGGATTTTGAACCCTTTTTGAATATAGGAACCACATCTGCCTTCCTCCAATCCTCCGGAACACTTCCTGAAAGAAAATAATCTTGAAAGATTAAAAACAGAGGTTCACTTATTTCTGCACTTAGTTCCTTAAGTACACGTGGATGGATACCGTCAGGCCCTGGAGCTTTGTTTATATTAACTTTCTTTAGTTGCTGCAGCACCTTGTCTTGAGTTAACCAATTACAATTATTCTGCAAGTTTTTAGTAGCAATCATTTGCACATCTATTGCCATGGGTTCTTCCTTAATATATACGGAGGAGAAATAGTTATTTAAAATTCCTGCCTTTTCCTGGTCTTCATTAATTAACACCCCGTTTCAGTTTTTAGTGTACCTACACTTTCATTTTGTTTTTTTTTAGAATTTATGTACTTAAAAAATGCTTTGGGGTTGGTTTTGCTCTCTTCAGCTATCATTATTTCATTTTGAAGTTTAGCAAGTCTAATTGCCTTTTTGCACGCATTATTTGCATCCTTATATCTTTTATAAGATGCATCTGATTTGTCCGATTTAAATGCTTTAAATGCCCTTCTCTTAGTTGTAATCTCTTGTTTTACTTCTCTACTAAGCCACATTGGTTTTAATTTGTTTCTTTTATATTTATTTCCCAACGGTACATACTGAGAAATGTACCTTTGTAATATTTGTTGGAAGATGATCCATTTATCCTCAGTGTTCTTTTCACTAAAGAGTTTATGCCAGTCAATATATTGTAAAGCTTCCCTTAACTTATTGAAATTGGCCTTTTTAAAATTATATGTTTTAGTATTCCCCATGTGCTTTTGTTTTTTTGAGTTTATTTCAAAGGACACTATATTGTGATCACTATTTCCCAAGTGCTCACCTACTTGAATGTTGGTCAAAAGATCAACGTTGTTTGTTAAAACCAGGTCCAGACAAGCATCCATTCTAGTTGGTGCTTGCACAAGTTGTGACATGAAGGTGTCATTTAACAAGTTTAAAAACCTAATTCCCTTTGCTGAGGCACTAGTCCCTCTGTCCCAATTTATATCCGGGTAATTAAAATCTCCAATAATTAAAGTGTTACCCAGATTTGCAGCTTTCTCAATTTGCTCAAACAGCTGTTGTTCCTCGTCAATATTAACATTAGGTGGTTTATAACATATCCCAACCAATAGTTGGTTTCCTTTCTTTTCCCCCAAGCAGATATTTACCCATAAAGCTCCCACATTATCCTCCTCGCATTCCATTTGCTTAACATTTGGCTTTAAATCATGTTTGACATACAAACATACCCCACCACCCTTCTTGTTTTTCCTATCCTTCCTAAATAACATGTACCCATTTAAGTTAGCTGCCCAGTCATGTGTCTCATCCCACCATGTTTCAGTTATGCCTATTATATCATATTGTTTAGTGTATGCTAATGCCTCTAGTTCCCCCATTTTGTTATTTAGGCTCCTTGCATTAGTAAGCATACATTTAATATTATGCATCACTTGTATATTTTGTGAATTTTCAACATTACACAGCTTCTCTGTTCTGAGCTTGCCCCTCCCCCCGTTTCCACCCCCCTTGTACTGTGCTAAAGCCCATCTCCTTTCTGTCCTATCTCCATTTTGTAGATTGCTATGACCCTCCCCCCCTACTACTAGTTTAAAATCTCCTCCAACCTTCTAGCCATCCTATCCCCCAGCACTGCAGACCCTCTCCCGTTTAGGTGCAATCCATCACCACTATAAAGGTTGTACCCAATCGCAAAGTCGGCCCAGTGCTCTAAAAACCCCAAACCCTCCTTCCTGCACCAAGACTTAAGCCACGCATTGACCTCTCTAATCTCCCGCTGCCTTTCCACTGTAGCGCGTGGCACAGGTAATATCTCAGAGAATACCACCTTGGAGGTCCTTTTCTTAAGTTTGCTACCTAATTCCCTGAAATCATTCTTTAGGACCTTCCATCTTCCTCTTACTTTGTCATTGGTACCAACATGGACCATGACCGCTGGGTCATCCCCAGCCCCTCCCAATAATCCATCCACTCTGTCAGCAACATGCCGGACCCGAGCACCCGGGAGACAGCAAACTGTCCGGTTGAGCCGATCAGAGCGGCAGATTGCCCTATCTGCTCTCCTAATGATAGAGTCCCCTACCACCACAACCTGTCTTGCCTTCCTTACATTTTGATCCCCACCCGTACTAGGGGGGCTGTTAGCTCGGCTGTTAGAAGTAACAGCTTCCTCTAATACAGCTACTCCTGAGCTGATGCTCCCAACATCTTCCCTCAAACGGGCAAATCTGCTAGGTTGCACCAAATCAGGACTAGCTAGCCCTTTCCTCTTCCCTCCCCCCCTGCTTCCTCGCCCCACTGTCACCCAGCTACATGCCTGTTCCCCATCTGTCTTATCTCCTCCCTCTCCACTACCTGTCCCCACTAAACTCTGCTCAGTGAGCAGTAGACTCCTCTCAAGATTGTCAATCGCCCTCAATGTTGCGATTTGCTTCTCGAGATCTCCAATCTCTTCTCTTCCAGAGAAGCCACTCGCACACAACCATCACAGAGGTATGGACTGGGTACATCCAGGCATCCATACATGCAACAAGATGTGCATTGAGTCAAACCAGCAATCTTGCTAACACTCATATCCCCTTTAAACAGAAAATAAAAACAATTACCTTGATAGTTTGAACCCTTTGTTTGTTGTAACTCCTGGTTTTCTAACTCCTACTTGAAAGAGTCTACTTAATAGAGGCTGCTTTCAAGTAATGTGAGCAAGCTCAGTGAGTTAGGGGTGTGCCTTTATGGGGATACAAATCCCACACAGGTGCAAACAATGAACACTCCCCCAATAAATCAAGCAGCAGCACAAAAAAAAGGTGGGAAAACCAGAACACAAAAAAAAAAAAAAGTAAATTTAAAAAACAAAATTTTTTTTAAACCTTACCAACTTTAAAGATTAAACAAAAATAAAATACAAACCACTCTCCACAGTATACAAACCACTCTCCACAGTATACAAACCACTCCAAGTAACTCCTGGTTTTCTAACTCCTACTTGAAAGAGTCTACTTAATAGAGGCTGCTTTCAAATAATGTGGTCCCATGCCCAAAACAGTTCCATAGAATTGCGGCTAAGTGCCGCTGGGGACCGATCGGGAACCGCAAAGTCTCCCTGCCGAAAACAGTTCCATAGAATTGCGGCTGGGGGACCGACCGGGAAGTTTTCATGCTGAAATTAATTCCATGGCCATCTAGGCTAAATCCCCTTGAAGTCTATTCGCGGTTTTGGTCCATGCGAACGGCCACTGGTGAGCTAGCATTCGGTTCTATGTAAAGTGCCAAACCAAGGGAGCCAGGGGGAATAAAATATGGGTCTTTACAGTCGCTGACCTGGCAGGAGGCTGGCAAGCAGGCCCTTCCAAAAGCCTATGGCGAGGTTCTGTTCACCACACTTTCCAAACTAGGCCACGTATCTTACAGTAGGTAAGCAATCGTGCATTCATATTTAACTGTTATTGATGGCACTTTAAAGTATAGAAAATACTCACATAGAAGAAAATTCAGATTTGTTAATGAGGAACAGACTTGATTCACTAGCAAAAGTTGTGGGAATAAATTGTGTCACTAAAGTGTAATACCATCTTATTACTTACTAGCCTGGAGTAACTCAGCATCAGTGTCAGTTTTAAACACACCCTGTGAGAAACCCAAAAACCTAATCATAATACATAGAATTGGTGACATCAATTCTAGTTTACTAGTTGAAATTAGAAAGTATACTACGAAAATTGTGATATATTCTGAAAGTTATATGCAAACATTAAGTTACTTCCAGACCCGTAAAGGGACATTCAAGACCTATAAATCACTTCAGCTGGTTGTTTAGCTCAGTTGAAGGCACTTATCCATGGCATCTGCCTTGCAATTACTTCTTATTGAGCTGCATCGAGAGGTCTGGGCTGAGTTAATAGGGAAGGGTTTGCAAAAGCTTTAGAAAAGAGATCTTCAACTTCTGCAAGTTCTTTTTAGATGCATCTCCAATGAAAAATTGCATACTTAAATGCATTTTTTTCATTAGGGTTATATATACTAAACAGTGATTTTTTGTTTTTAAGCTGTGGAGTGTCCTGTTTAACATTTGCTACCTTGTGAAATAAAGGAATGCAACATTATTTTTTATTTGACCAATTTAGTAACTATTCTCTCAAAGAAATCATGCATGAATTTTTTTTCTTAATATTTTAATTGGGGGTATAAAAAAAAACAACTTTCAAAAGTAGCAACCCTTTCAGTCTGTACCATGGAAGTCAGAGACTTCCCATTGAGCAGCCTATGTGCTGGAGCTACGAGCATGCTCATTCAGAGGCATTTGGCAAAATTTTATAAAAGTGTTGATTTCTAAAAAAAATAAAAAATAAAAATCGTCACTTTTAGAAAATGTCTCAAATTTTACAGACTCCAGATGAATGACTGTGAGTGTCTACTGACTGCTTTCAGCCTATCACAGCAATCATTACCATAACCCTTTCTATTAGAGGGATAAGTTTAGTAGAAGTGCTCCACTTCTCACATTGTTGTTTTGAGCCCCACCTTTTGTGACTGCATAATTTGTTGTCTATTAACTCACTATTGACTTAATTATATATTCATAATCACCAAGAGATGGATTTTTTTTTAATTCTTTATTTTTGATGATAAAGCATGATGTTTACAAAATTACATGTTTGGCAATATAATGAACAAATAACAGTAATTTCAACATGTTGCGGGTACTATCCATTTTTTATAGTTTTAATAGCTTTTACAGCCCTCTCTCGCCTGTGCTCCCGCGGGGGATTGGTGATGTGCTGGGGGGCTCCTTTCTTATGGCGGTGGGTGCCCTTAGGCTTGTTAGTGTGAATTTACGTGTGACAATAACATCTGGGAGGGTGATCTGCTGGTGGTGCTCGGTTAGTGCTGTGGGTGCCCATAGGCTTAGTAATGGCATTGTATATGTGGCTTGGACCTAAGGCACGTCTAAATGTGTGGGTATCTGGCATGGGTCCTGACAGACCCGGACATAGGGCTTAGTGCTATAATTGCGTAAAAAGGCTGTACACGCTTATCGAGTGTGAGGGATACGGGCAATATTAACTCTGCTTTGTGCACTCAAAATAAGGGGGGGGCGGGAATTAACTTGGTCATATAACCTGAGCCATAGCTTACGGAGCCAGTGGGAGGTTATCTAGTAAGGGGGATTAACAGTCCAGGGAACTGTTGGTGCTTCTGCTGTCTACAACAGGTAGAAATACATGGAACTTGTGTGGCTGCAACTGTATCAGGTAGGCAGAGCAGCAACTTGCGGGCCCTCTCCTCTGGGCACGAAGGGGGTGATATCTACCACAGTCCAAAGTGGTCGAGCTGTTTCTTGTGCTGCCTGCGCCGATATGCCCAGTGATCTGAGGAATGCCGGTATTTCAGAAGTGCGTGATAGATTGTGTGTCACGCCAGCCTTGTCCGTCTGTAATCTGCGTGGGCCCCAATTGTAGGGGATGGCTTGATCCCGTAGTAGTTGTGTAACCTGACGAAAAGATTTCCTCCACTGTATAGTGTGTCTTGAATAGTCTCTGTAAAATGCTAGTTGTGCCCCTTCAAACGGCACTGTGGGAGAGTCTCTTGTAGCCCCCATAAGTATTCCTCGGTCAGAGTCTCTCACAAATTTTATCAGGATGTCGCTAGCTCCTTCTTGTGGCGTAGAGGTCACCCTGGAGAGCCTGAAGCAGGAATCAATCATTACCTGCTTCGCTTGCCGTGGTGTCAGCAGCGTGGCTATGAGCCGTCGGCAGAAATGTGGCAGTTCGGTGCCAGAGATTGTCTCCGGTACTCCCCGGACCCTCAGGTTCCGTGCCTTGCGCCTGTCTTCCAAGTCCGCCAGTTGTGCTTGCTGGTCGGCACACTTCTTGCACAGGGCGTTCAGTGCGGCATCTGTGGCATTTTGCGCCAGCGTTGTACCTTTCGCGTCTTCCTCCACTGCTGCCACCCTGTTGGTTAGCGTAGCAATATCCTCCCTCACCAGTGCCATATCCGCCTGAAACATGGTCTTGATTTCTTTCACCAGGGCTTTGATATCCGCTTTGGTGGTGGGTGCTGAGTCTCCCTGATCCTGGGGTCCCTGAGGTGTCTGGCTCCTCGGCTCAGTATGGAGGGTTCAGTGTAGTGACTATCCTCGTCCGAGGATTGGTAGGTGTAAGCCTCCGGCGCCATCTTGGGATTTGCCGGCCAAGTGGCTGTGCGAAGAAAAGCCCCGATATCTCCAGATCCTGTGCTCGGATCTGCCCGCTGTTTTTTGGTTTTCTTCCCCATGATACAGGGAGTCCGTGCTCCATCTTTGATAAGCCAGTGAGCCGGTATTTATCGTCTCTGGGCAACGTTTTTCGGCTTGGTGCACGGAGCAGCAGTGCTGTGCGGCTATCCTGCTCCGGTGCTAGCTCCGCCCCCCCAAGAGATGGATTTTACATTAGTTTTAACACATTACACAACAGAGTACTTTACAGGAATTAATAATAGAATATTGTATTTATTTCCAGAGAATCTTTCAGGTAGCACGGTAAGGAATGTCAGAATAGGAAGTTGTTTGATGAAATAAATGTTGATCATGTTCAGACACATCTCCGACTAGGGAAAAATAATTTATATATCTATGATAATAAGAAGTAGCTTATTTATTTATTTATCTATTATTATTTTGATTTTTTATAGGAAATATGTGCTAATAGAATAACAAATAGCAAAAAAAAATAAAAATAAAGCGTAGAGTGGATAAAATTGGGCCCTTGTGTATACTTTTGCCAAGCATGAGGAACAGTTCCCAAAAACGAATAAATAGGATGACAAGAAAAGCTCCTATGCACTGCTTCACCCCTGACTTTTGAGGCAACAGGGGGGGTTGATATGTGAGAAGTAGATTATTTTTATATTCTTGTGTCATTTGTTGTGACATTATTATATTGTATTATACTGTTCATTTAATATGTGTTAAAGGTCATGTTACATATTTCACATAACTTGTTAAATAGCCCTGAAATGTTAATGCTGAGAGAAATGTAAACATGCAAGATACAATAAAGTAAATTATGTAGCTAATATTTATATAAACATTTTTTTGGCACAGATGTATAGAAACTCTTTGGTAATAAATGAAAATACCTGGGGCTTATGTTCATGTTTATTCTCTGGGTATAGCAGAACTATTTTCTCCCAACAGATTTGTCCTGATTATTTTTGGACCATGCTCCTGTTTGTTAATACCTCATATTGGTACATTGACAACATTTAATTTGCAATCTGTGCTTTTTTATTTATAATGTCACTCTAAAACCTTGTGTGCCAACCCTGTTAGAAGGCCAAACACATTGGCATTTTTTTCCCTTCATATGACTTTCTTAATAATCGATGTTCAGATTTATAAATTAATTATGAAATAACCATTAAAATTTATATTTTAATTAACATGTTTGCTTTTCTAGTTTAGCCTCTAGACTCATCATTGCTTCTAAATTATATTTACTCAATTACTAAACCAAATTCAAATGGAAAGAGATGTCAGTCTTAACCTCTTAAATTAAAAAAAAAAGTGATATTTGGGATCAATGGCTGAAAATAAATAAAAGAAAATTCATAATTTGATTATTTTTGGTACTAAATTGTAAAAAAAATTTCACAAGGCTTCGTCTCTGATGTCCTCTTTCTCGGCAGAAAAAGAAAACATCATTTAGTTGTATTCCTGTTAATATATGTTTGTTCTGTAAGTGATATGGTATATGTTGTATAAATATGACCAAAAACTTAAATATATACCTACTTCTTAAAGTCTGATTGGATCAGGAACCAAAATAAGGAGTACTACAAGTAAGAAGGAAGATCAACGGATCAGAAAGAAGTTAGGAGAAGAAGCTAATTTTTGAAGACCCTGCATAAGAACTTATAAGAAAGGGATATTGTAATGGAGCTTCCTGTACCCCGGTTTGGTACCTCCGCCAACGGATGCTCCTAGTGCTCACCGAGGACTCCAAGCACTCCACCAGACACCATCAGCACCGCAGTCCCCACATCCAGCATTACAGCTTGACTGGGAACTCGCCGTCCTCTACCCACCCTGGACCTATGACAAGGCTCCAGGTTCCAGTGGCTGAACCTCTCCTCCAAGAGAGAGTAGCAGGAACAAGCTCTTAAAAGAGCTTAGTGATTATAATCCCTGGGGAGTATAGTGATATAGCAATCCCCAGGGTAGATGCAGCCTTTTCCCCAAAACATGAGACTAGGCTCTATGTTGAGGGTAAAACAGGAACTCAGCAGATCTGAGGGTTTATTGAACAGCTTGGTCTTTTATACAGTTTTCCCCACAAGGTTACCACCCAGGTGGACCTTGTGGGGCACAGGGACATAGAAACAACAAGCCAATAAAAACATATTTTTAACTCTAAGCAGAAAAAAACATGCATTTTTACAAACCCAAAAAAGTACCCCAAAATACCACATATCCCCGATCTGGGTGAACAACATATCCAAAAATCACCCAGATCAGTTCAGGGGTTCAGGAATTTCCTTGAAGTCTTATTTTTGCCACACCGTGCACATGGTCCTATGCCCAAAACAGTTCCATACACTCGACGACAAAACACTGCTGGACAATTTTAGATGGCTGCCGCCACATGTTTGAATCTGTTCCAGTTAAAAGTCCAAGGGGCAGAAACAGTACTTTTGAACATGGGTGATCACAGGGCCCATAATCCCAGGGTAGGAGGCTGGCAAATAGGCCCCTCCAAAAACCAGGGGCAAGGTTACTTTCGCCACAGATATATATTCCATGTTCCTTTTTTTTTTTTTTTAGTTTAAAAATTTGGAAACAATGCTGTAATATCGTACACAAAGAAAAATACTTTTACATAAAGGGATAAATACACCGACTTCTTAAAGTCTGATTGGATCAGGAACACATTAAGTAGAACATGAAGAAGAAAGGAGAAGTTAATTTTCAAAGACCCTGTATATGAACGTCTTAGAAAGGGACGTATAAAGTTATTATTATTTTTTATCCTGAAACGAATTGTTGTTGTAAATTTGTCACAATAGTAGAGGACAATAGAGGTTAAGGATTGTTTAAACTAAAATAAGGTATGCGCACTAAAGACGTAGGTCATAATCCAAAAGGAAGGAGATTTCAATAAGCACATAGAAATGACGATAGGGATTAGCACTTTATGTGAGAAGCGCACGACAAAATTACATTGGTATTATTATTATTATTATTATTATTATTGCCATTTATATAGCACTAACAGATTCCATAGTGCTTAACAATATTATGAGAGGGGGGGATGTAACTATAAATAGGACAATTACAAGAAAACTTACAGGAACAATAGGTTGAAGAGGACCCTGCTCAAATGAGCTTACAGTCTATAGGAGGTGGGGTATAGAACACATTAGGAAAGGAAATATCAATCAAATAAGGTGGGAGTGAAGCAGGAATGGAGGAGAGAGTAAAGTGCTGCCCTATAGGAGGGAGCAAGAAACAGGTGTGTAAGGTAGAGGTTACTCTGGGAAGCCATAAGTGTTCCTAAAGAGATGGGTTTTAAGGCACTTCTTAAATGATTGAAGACTAAGGGAGAGTCTGATGGGGGTAGAAAGGCTATTCCATAGGAAGGAAGCCGCCTGTGAGAAGTCCTGCAAATGCGAGTTGGCCATACGGGTGCGAGCAGCGGTCAGAAGGTGGTCACGAGCAGAGTGGAGGGGCATACCTATGGATCTGTGAAGAGATATAAGAGGGGCTAGAATTGTTCAGTGCTTTATATGTATGGGTAAGCACTTTGAATTGACTCCTATAGGATACAGATAGCAAATGTTTGGATTGACAGAGGGGTGAATTGTGAGAGGACCGACTAGAGAGGAAAATCAGTCTGGCGGCGGCATTCATTAAAGACTGTAGCGGGGCGATACGGCTTTTGGGAAGACCAATCAGGATAGGGTTACAATAATCCATGCAGGAAATTACTAGAGCATGGACAAGCTCCTTGGTAGCATGTAAGAAAGGGTCGGATGTGGGCTATGCTTTTAAGTTGGAATCTACAGGATTTGGCAACAAACTGGATGTGATGCTCAAAGGTGAGGCAAGAGTCAAGTATGATGCCAAGACAGCACGCTTGCAAGGATGGACTGATATGGATACCATTGACTTGAAGGGAGAGCAAGAGAGGAGGATCAGTATTAGGAGGAGGAAAGACAAGGAGTTCAGATTCAGAGAGATTGAGTTCAGAAAGTGGGAGGACATCCAGTCAGAGATGGAAGAAAGGCAAGCAGTGACATGTTGCAGGACGGCAGGGGAGAGGTTCGGGAAGGAGAGATATATTTGGGTGTCATCAGCGTACAGGTGGTAGTAGAATCCAAAAGAGGTTTTGCCTAGAGAGTCAGTATAAAGAGAAAATAGAAGGGGACCAAGGACAGAGCCTTGGGGAACTCCAACAGAGACAGGACGAGGGGAGGAGGTATCCTTGGAAAAGGAGACACTGAATGAGCGTTGGGAGAGATAAGAGGAAAATCACGAGAGGACAGAGTCACAGAAACCAAACGACTGAAGAGTTTGAAGGAGGAGAGCATGAACAACGGTGTTAAAGGCAGCAGAGAGGTCAAGAAGAATTAATATGGATTTAGCTGCGATTAGGTCATTAGTAACTTTGGATTTAGCTGCGATTAGGTCATTAGTAACTTTGATAAGAGCAGTCTCAGTAGAGTGAAAGGGGGGAAGCCGGACTGAAGAGGGTCAAGAAGAGAGTTGGAATTGAGGAAGCGAGACACACGGGTAAAGACAAGTTTTTCCAGAAGCTTTGAGGAAAAAGGGAGCAGGGATATGGGACGATAGTTAGAAGGGAAGGATGGGTCAAGAGATTTTTTTTTTCAGGATAGGTACTACAGTGGCATGTTTAAGGTCAGCAGGGACAACACCAGAAGAGAGAGAGCAGTTGAAGATGTGTGTTGGGGAAGGCACAAGACAAGGGGAGAGAGATCTGTTGAGGTGAGACAGGACAGGATCGAGTGGGCAAGTGGTGGGGTGAGAAGAAAGGAGAAGCACAGCCACCTCTTATTCAGTAGTTGGGGAGAAAGTATCAAGGGTAGGAAAGGCATGATTTACGTGTGGTTGAGAAAGAGAATGGCAAGGAGGGGAGAATTCTTTCCTTAGCTGTTCAATCTTGTCGGGAAAGTAGCATGCAAAGCTATTGGCTGTAAGGTTAATTTGGGGGGCTGCTATGGCAGGGCAGAGAAGAGAGTTAAAGGTGTCAAAGAGACGCCTGGGATTGCAGGAGCATGAACTAATGAGAGAAGAAAAGTATGACTGTTTGGCGAGGGCAAGGGCTGCGCTGTATGAATCAATAATGAAAATAGTCTGCCTGGGTGCGGGACTTCCTCCAGGAGCGTTCCTCACAATGGGAGCAACTTTGCAGATAGCGTGTTGATTTAGTATGCCAAGGTTGGGGGCGTGTCCTCCTCGAGGTGCATGTTTGGAGCAGGGTGCAGCGTTCAGGGCAGAGGTGAGGGTAGTGTTATATGTGGAGATGGCCAGTAAAGAGCCAGGAGAGGGAAGGAATGAATAGCATAAAAAACATATGTATACTGGGCTCTAAGGCAGAGTTAAAATGCAAAGGTAATATAATACACAGAAGTAATAAACTCATGGTAAAATCTGTAGATCAAATAAGTGTTACTACACTAATAATGATTAAAGGGTTTTACAATGATAAAAAAGGAATCAGGCTTAGAGATATCTTTATGGACATACACCAATTAGAAATATAGGAATAGGAGTGGCACTTATATTTTGATTAGTAGAACATAAATGAAAGTTGGGATAGTAAATGGAAAGGTACAAAAGAAGAAGGGGAAAAGGGAATAAATAATAATAAAATTAAGTTTACCTTTCTTTTCCCTCTCCCTCCCTTCTATACACATGGAGAGTCAGATATAGATTAGTAATAGAGCTCCTCCTCTGAAACCCAATACCTGCACGAGATTGACCTCTGATTGGTAATGTGTCAGAGATATATGCTCAGGGGAACGTCAAGAAATTTGTTCCCGGGCATTAAGAATGAATGGTGTGAATGTTGATGGTTATTTATTTTTAATAGAGTTATTTATCTGGGAAGAGGGGAAAAACAAATCATCAGCAAAAACTTAGGAAGGAACAGGCACTTGGGGGTTAAGTACCATATCCAATGAATCTCAAACCGGTTACAATTAATTTTAAGGGATTCAGTTCTCATCAATCTTACCTTATCTCTATGATCTTGTAAAAAAAAAGAAAAGATCGATATTTGCGTTGTACAAGACACCCACTGAGACAGTAAAAGCTCTAGATTGTGGAGATACAAGAAATTCCCAGTTATTTATGAAGCCAGATTAGGTGATCCGACAAAAAGAGGAGTAGCAATAATAATCTCTAAGGATATTGCATTTTAACATATCTTTCATGAGTTTTATACCAATGGAAGATATATAATGTTCATTTGTAAATTAAATAAGAAGATTCAGACTTTGGTAAATTGCTATGCACCTTATGATTTTCCTGTAAAATTCTTGAATCCTCCGATCGAAAGGGTGGAAAGGTTTTCAAAAGGAGATTTGATCATGGCGGGGGATCTAAATTGTATCGCCAACATTAACTTAGATAAAAAATTAATGAAAGGAAATAGGTTAGATATTAGAATTAAACTCTATGTGGAAAACTTCACTAAATGTTTGTTTATAAACAACTTAGTTGATATACAGAGAACACAACATCCATTAGAAAGTGATTATAGCTTTTTTTTCGAACAGGCACCCATCATACTCAAGGAAGTTTAATAGTATTAAAATATTTATATCCTCAAACATTGGTAGTACTAGCTGGCCAGATTACACCCCAGTTTTCTGTGAAATTGAGAACAAACTCCTTAACGGGAGGTAGAGTAGATTTGAGAATAAAGGACTACAACGTGACTTCGGACACTGAGAAGCATAAACTCATAGAGGAAATACAACAATTTCTGACCTTCAATGACAATAACGAGATCTCGATCCAACTTTGTGGAATGCTCTTAAATGCATAATAATGGGTTATTTAATAAAGAATGACATGGACTAAGTTGGGGAAATCTATATCAGACCTTCATATTATCCTAGCTAAGGAGGAAAGAATAAACAAAATTGCCCCCAATATAAATATATCACGACAAATCATTAGTACTCAAACAAAAATTAAAATTAAACTAGTTGAAAGATGTGAAGGAATACCCCATCACTTGGTTCGGTAACTTTCGTTTCCTTTCTCTTCTTTTGATTGTTCGAACCCACATAGTTCGGTTTCCGTACGAGGACCAACCCAGCATCTCATTAGAACATGGAACACTAAGTATCCTGTGCAAAACCACAATGGAAACTAATACTAAAAGGCGCCATCTTGTCTCCCCGAATGCAGGCAGTGGTATCTGGTCATTGAGTGCCTTGAACTTATTTCGGCTAGGCACTCCTGCGAACACCAGTGAATATGGAACTGCTGCCCGTTCAAGTTCACGACCACCTATACGAACGGCATTTGGGAGATATAAAAGTATTCGGATATTGTATATGGCTTTCATATAAAAACTCTTGAACTGAGACCGGCCATTGCTACGATTTCTCTGGAACTATTTTGGGCTTCTACCTAGTGGCCAGCTGGTTAAAACTGTACCTTGATGGAAATTCCAAACCACTGAACCAATTTGAGTGCTTTTTGCATATGTTAAGCACTCAGATCAGGGGTTTCTATGTATTTTGGGGGTACTTTTGGGGTGTTTAAAAATTGTTATATTTTTCTGTACCTAGGAGATAATTGAGTTGTAATTTTCCTGACTCAATTATCTCTCAGGAACAATGAGGAGTTTACTGTATGTATAAATTGAGAGTGCTTGCCTGCATTAGAGAGACATTAGTCGAGCATTCAATCTTGACTAATGTGTGGAGGGAAAGGCTATACCAGCGATATTTACTTTCATGAGTAATAGATCTTCGTTATTTTAGGAAAGGGAGTCGGTGGCGGCAATATACTGGTGGTCTGCCACATCTGGTGGCAGCGGTGGGATGGTCACTTTCCCTGGAGCTATAATCTGAAGTAGGAACGCGCGAAGAGTACGACGGATGGAGATCGGGTATGCTCAACTTAAGTGTACTACTTTGAAGGAGTTATTGGAAGCCTGAGTAGGTATTGCCAGCAGCAAGGCAAAAAGGATTATAATCAGAGAAGTAATGGAGTTGGATAGAGAGAATTTGGCCATTGCAAACCCTTCAGTACTCACAGCAGATGCCGAACAGATGAAGGAGATTTGGGAACGTTTGGCGCTGTTTGGCCTAAACCCACCCCAAGAGGTAATCCTAAAGATCATTGCAGATGCGAAAGCAAGAGATAAATGCGATATGCAATTTTGTATGCTTAAATTTCAACTAACAGCTGCATCTCCCGCGAACAGTAGCAGTTTCATACCAGAGCCGCAAAAGGTACCATTTAACGCTTTTAAAGCCTTTCAAGAGCCAGAGGAAGAGATTGAATTCGAATGCCAGTGCACCCTGCACAAAGTAGCGGAGGAAGAATGGGTACCTATCTTGGCCGGGAAGTTGTCTGTCAAAGCTGCTGAAGCCTTCAGAGTCATACCCGACCACACATAAACTATGAGCAGGTGAAGGAAACACTGTTAGCATGGTATGCAGTTACTCCAGAAGCATACCAAAGAAAATTTAGGGAACTAAGAAAGGCTGACAAAGATTCATATACAGAGTGGGCTTGCCGGATGCACAGAGCTGCTTCTCACTGGATCAATGGCTGCCAAGCGACCACTTTGGAGGATGTATTACAGTTATTAATGCTGGAACATTTTCTTTAAATTGGTAAAAAAGAAAGGATGAAAGAAACGGACAAAAACTTAGAGAGACTCAATAGCTTGCCCTTCGGTACATCCCCACTCAGGTCTCAATATTTTTTTAATTTGGTACATCCTGAAGTCAAAGACTGGGTGAGAGACCGCAGACCCCTTACTCTTCCAGAGGCAGCCAGGTTAGCGGACGAATACACGGATGCCTGCAAGCTGGACCAGTCCAACCCCCAAGATTGAACTAGTACTACTGACAACAGGAGGGAACTATCACCCTCCCTCACGACCCACTCTTGATGTTTATGTACCTCAACAAAAGACCGGATCCAGTTTTTTCCACTGTTAACAAATAGGTCACATTTGCAATAATTGTCCCCTGGCCCCTCCTTCACCTAACTGGAACCGGCCAGGAAACCCATAGTCCCCGGGGCGCTGCACAATGCATGGACACCACTAGTTCCCGAGCCTGGGATGCTACTGAACTGGGCCAAGAAGAACCGCTAGGGTCACTTCATGAAGCTGACCCAGTGCAGGCAGCCACCATCGACAACCTAGAACACCACAGGCAGTTGGTTTTGGTCAACGGACAGACCTCCCATGGCCTAAGAGACACTGGAGCAACCATCACCCTTATCCAATGACACTTGATCGGTAGCACAGACTGTCCTGGGAAGTTTGTTGCTGTTCAGGTAACCGGGTGAGCCATTTACTGACTACCTACTGCCTGGGTACATCTAGATTGGGATGCAGGAGCTAGTATAGTGGACGTTAGGGTGATGAAGGATCTACGAGCAGAGGTCCTGTTAGGAAAGGACCTGGGGCCACAAATTTCTGCCTTTGCATCCACGAACACACCTGAAGTTCAAGCTGTGACTACCAGAGCCCAGGCGTGCGCTATGGACACACACTCACATTCTGTGGAGGCCAAGGTAAGAACCTCGACTGTAGCTATAGAACTCTGACCTGTGATAACCATAAGGACCCCTCCCTTATGAAATATAGGGATAGGGCTATAACTGATCAGGGGGGATGGGGCGGAGAGCAGTTTATGTGGGAAGGAGGCAGGTTATAAGGTGTCACTGAATCCAAGTCGAACAACGCTTGTCCCATTCAGAAGCATAATCTCGTAGTACCACAGAAATACCGGTTGTAGCTACTGAAGGTGGGACATGATGTACCATTAGCAGGACATCTGGGAATAAGACGGACATCGTATCGGGTAACCCAGAACTTTTTTTGGCCTGGGATATCCAAGGATGTCCGGCAGTATTGCCAAACGTGTGAAGACTGGTAGTGGGTGGGCAAAAGTGGGGACCACCCAAAAGCTAAATTGGTTTCTGTGCCCATTATTGAGAAGCCCTTTAGCAGGGTAGTGGTGAGCCTGATCGGACCCGTAGCACAGCCTAGCCACCCCGGTAAGTGATATATCCTTACTGTAGTGGACTATACCCGGTACCCCGAGGCTGTGACTGTATCCATCTTTCAGGCCAAGACAGTGGCTGATGCCCTGGTCAAGACATTCTCCTGAGTAGGATTTCCACGGGAGATTCTTTCTGACCAAGGTACTCAGTTCACTGCTGAATCAGCAGTGGAAAGTCTGTGGGATCAGGCCCATTATGAGTTACCCTTACCACCCCCCGACTAACCGTCTCTGTGAGTGGTTTAACCCCTTAAGGACCAAACTTCTGAAATAAAAGGAAATCATGACATGTCACATATGTCATGTGTCCTTAATGGGTTAATGGAACCCTTAAACAAATGTTAAGGACATATACTACCACTTGCAGAGGTTGGGAATGATTCCTGCCATAACTCCTATTTGCTTACCGGGAGGTGCCTCAGGAATCTACAGTTTTTTCCCCATTTGAACTGTTATACGGGTGGCGGGTGTGAGGACCCCTAGACCTTATCCAAGAGCATTAGGATGGGGAGACATAGATAGCAGGGACCTGTTGGGGATAAAATCAGCCCGGGCCCATTGTGGATGATGGATATTTGCCAACTCATTCAGAGCTCTGGAAATTGGAAATGAATAGCAGAGACGTGTTCAATAAACAATTCAAATTTGGGAGGGGGAAAAATGAGCATATGGGCGTGACAATGATGACAATTCACAACGTAAACACATATAGTCAAAATGGGAATAATATCTATTCCCCCTCTTTGAACCAGGGTCTTGGATTACCAGTCCACCCAGTGATCTGGGGCCAGGTCAAAAAAATCCAGTGGTAAAAACTCATATTTGAGGAAAAAAGCACATCTGGGGAAACTCTAAGTGAGTGCTATGACTGTGTAGCCATGCCATCCCCTCACGTTGACAGCATTAGTGACTTATTAAACCCGCACTTGTAAGTAAATAGCTCGGGTATTGGGATTGGGAAACACTTCTTGATTAGTTTGAAAAGGCCCACTTACATATTATATCATGAGATAATTTCTAATCAGTTTGCAATTCTAACAATAATCCCAATCATGACCTTGCGTCCTATGCCTCCTAAACACATCCCTATTTCGATGGTCCAGTCATATCCACACTTAATACATGGGAATCCATCCTTGGTACACTCAACATACATCAATGACACACATAGTACATCCATGCCTGAGTAAGCTAACACTTCCTCTCTCTCCGGCTAACTACAAAAATAAAAATAACAAAATAGTTCAATAGTCCAGCATAGTCCAGAAAAATAGAATAAGTCTTTCAAGGAGTATAAAGAATCTTAGACACCATAAACTTTGTTCCATAATCTTAGACACCATAACATAGCTAAGGGTAGCAATATGGCTGACAACAAGACAATGTCAGCTTCCACATAGTTCTTAATTCTTCTGTTTGCTGGATGTTCACCGCAATACTCTGTGCAACACCCCAGTTGTTGAAAGGGTAATACAGAAATAGCAGAATTAGACAGTACTGCACCTTCAGGACTTTCCAAGTTAGTTCATGTCCTCATAAGTAAGCATGTCAGTTTCTTCGGCCAGCATGGATTTTGACCAAACAGATTTAATTGCAAAAAAGGTAGGTAGGCAGGTAGGTCAGCCAGAGAGATTGGTGTGTAGTCCCAAATATCAGGCGGCACAAATACTCCAGTACAGTTTCTATAATCATACAAACACAAGGATCAGTATGACATCAATAAATTAATTATCTAGGCTAAATTCAAATTAGAGACTAAAGTTAAACCCTTAACTAGTGTAACATGTACTTCTCTCAGTGTTGCTTATATTTCATTGAATTTGTCCTTTATAAAATTTGAATACATAATTTCCTTTTAGAATGCCTTTGTATGGATGAGAGAAGCACTAATTCTATATAAATGCTTGTTGAGTACTAAAACACTAACATATACATATTGGAATAATTCCCAATAAAATGCTGTTCTTAAACTTAAACCTTGATTTGATAATCTCATTACCTTAATAAAATTGGAATGCTGAAGTCTAAAAATTTTGTGGATCCTGATAACATCTTTGGAAACCGAAAACTTGTATAGATCCTGTAAGGAAACCAAGTACATTTAAACCTTAATCGTTAGTTTCCTCCCGAACAGCCAGAGCCCAGTGAATATAGCCCTCCGTTCGGTAGTTATAGTAGACGAATTCCCAGTTGTAAATCCAATAGTGTTCCTGGATAATTCCCACAGTAAAACACACGAACTCCCAAACAGCATACGTAGTCAGAATAAGGGTACAAAGATGAACTGAGGTTTAATGACAGGCATGCTCTTTTTATGGAATTCAGCCCATGCAAGGGAGCCTCCCATATAATTAGCCATACATCCAATCCTAACAATATACATACTGTACATCTCCTCCCCTCAGATAACCATTAAACACAATTAAAACGTAACAGAAATTCCCCAAAGTTTGGATGTACCCCAAGGACCAACATATTAAAATCTCAGGCCATTCGGTTCAGCCGTTCGGGAGATATAGGACTTAGAAGTTTTGACCGACTGCACGGGCAAAGTAGCCGAAAACAGTTCCATGAATTCTGGCCCTGCAGTCGGTCTTAGATCGCATGAAAAACCTCCCGAACGGCCGGCCATCCAGCTACCATCCTTGGTTCGCTGGATTCCCCATCTGTTGGTAAGTCTTTCTACCGAACGCCCGGTCGTTCGGTAGTTTGGAAGGGGTTTTACCGAAGGTCTGGAGGCTTCAGCGGTGTTCGCCTGTTTGAGTGTCCGTTTTCAGTTCCAGACATTCAATGGCAAACACCGCTGTTCGGGAGCTAAAATGGCCGCGAACACGAGGAAGTCCCGAAATGGCGGTGAGACCTGCCGTTCGTGCAAAACTTCTGCCGAACGTAATCCAGCCAGCAAGGGGGTACAGTCTGTATAAAGGGGTGACAGGGGGATCTGCATTCAGTAGTTTTGCCTACCGAATGCCATAGGGGAACATTGCTATTAACACAAATACAAAGAGAGCATATACAGTTAAAAAAAGGCATTTCTTCACAGATCCCGATGCCCAAAAAGCCACCAGTTCTGTATGTATGTGATCATGTTTTAATACTGTACAGTTATCCCACTTAAACAATCTTTTTCCGAACAACTAGGAATGAAATAGGAGAAACAAAATGAATTACTATTGTTCTAAAGTGCTTTGTTTAATACAGGTTTCGGAAGAGTTGTCTTGCTGTGTTAAGGTTGCAAGTGGCCTCTGATAAGGAAGGGACAGCAAACTGTAGACATATGTTATATTAAGTTGCCCTCACTTGTAAGGTCTTGGAAACCCACTTATTTTATTGCAGATGCCTCTATGATACCACGTTACAAATTGACTAAGCATACTTATTATTTTCCTATTTTATTTTAGTTATTTCACATTGCGCAGCCTATGCAAACAATGGCTAAGTCCCAGCTTCAGCTTGTACATCCTCTAAGAGCCAGCATTAATACTGTTTTATCACTCAAAACTATATATGAAGTATTAAAAACATGAACCATATGTGTATTAGGCTGGGGTTGTTGGGTGTGGGTATAGGTTGGAAGCTGTGGTTGGTATTGAGGAACCTGTCAGGGTGGGTCCAACGCCAGCTGGGCCAGGTTCTCCTTTAGCACCGGGTTCTCCTTTGTTTCCCTGAGCACCAGGTTCACCATTGTTACCCTTAGGTCCAGGAGCACCACAGGCACCAGGGAAGCCAGGGGCACCAGCAATACCAGGAGTACTAGTGGGGCCAGCTTGACCGGGAGAACCGGGTTAACCTCGAGCACCTTGGGGTGAATCCCTGCTATCCACAATTAAAACAGTGCTGAAGTTGCCACCTCTACAAAAGTTAGACCCTTTGATCAAATCCTCTACCTCTGCCTCTAAAACGTTTCCTATCACCTCCCAAATGTCCTTGTCTCGCCTGCTTAAGATCACAATCCTTTGTGACCAATACAACATACTTTTCCCTTTTCTTTATATCAAAACAACCTGCTGTATCTTTCTCATGAATCTTCCCAAGAAATTCAGTTGGGGTCAAAGGGGGCCGGTCACAGACTAACAGTTTGACCAAAAGTGAACAAGGAGGAAGCATATTCCATATGCAGGTCGAGATTACCTAACTCACACCCCCTCTTTGTGTACCCCTCTTTGTGTACCACACAGATATAATATTAATACGCTTTTGAAGATTTATTGTGTATGTATAGCACAGTTGTCTAGGGGTGTATACATAAACAGTGAAAGCAGAGTCTTCATATAGGGTTTGCAATACTGACAGTCTGGGTCATAGGTGTAATGCAGACATGCGTAGGTACTTTTCCATTGTCAGAATACATTGAAAACACTAATATATTGCAAATATTAAAATCATATTGCAGCTGTTTCCTATACCTGCAAGGATATGGTTGTAATTAGTGATGTCCCGAACGGTTCGCCACGGATGGCGAACATATGCGCTGTTCGGTCCGCCCCCTATTCATCATTATTGAGTAAACTTTGACCCTGTACCTCACAGTCAGCAGACACATTCCAGCCAATCAGCAGCAGACCTTCCCTCCCAGACCCTCCCACCTCCTGGACAGCTCACTAAGAATGCAGCTTCACAATGAATGTAAAATGGGTGCTGTCCAGGACGTGGGATGGTCTGGGAGGGAGGGTCTGCTGCTGATTGGCTGGAATGTGTCTGCTGACTGGGAGGTACAGGGTCAAAGTTTACTCAATGATGACATAGGGGGCGGACCGAACAGCGCATATGTTCGCCAAACCATTCGGGACATCACTAGTTGTAATACTTCAATTGAGTTCAAATTGAGTATCAAAAGTCTAACCACAAAAACTAAATTTTATATGCTTATCAAAAATGAGTTTAGCCCCTTAGCAATTTAATAGGGTGACCTCTTCCCATAGTATGGTTCCTTTTATAATTATTATATTATTTATTCTCTTCTGTGTCTGCAAAATGCTTTCAATATACCAATACAAATATAATACAGTAGTTTAGACTTGCCTCATTTATCATCAAAAATTGTCTGATCTCTATTAAAAATACCATTTCATCATTTTGCTATACTCAATGAGGCATACTAGATGAATCTGAATCTTGGAAAAAACCTATCCTATACATCCATTCATTTTTTTCTTTTTATATAACCATATAACATAATTTTTTATGTTAAAGATATATTTTTTTCATTTTCTTTGACTTAAATAATGCAATGCACTTTAAAAGGTGAGTTAACTCTAAATACTCCCCTAATAATACGAAGAGAGACATTTAAAATTGGAAAAACAGATTCATTTTTGTTTCTTTTCTTTCCCAGGGGCCCCTTTTCGTGAGCCGATCAGCATTTAATCTGCTGTAAAAAGACACTAAAGGCTTGCATTAATGACATGCAAATATTCTTTAAATATTCTTCATACTCATTGTAATATCACACATGTCATCTTATAACACAGAACAAAGCGAATGTAGTAGATATCCAGCAATCATAACAATACAAAAAGCATATTCATGGACAGGCAATTAACTCAATCCAAAATTAATTAATAAATGTCACACTCAGTGTCCCTCAAAAGAAACACAGACATAATGTAGGTTCCCATGTTTGTGCATTATTCATGTCTGCAAACTATGCAAGCAGTACTGCTTTAAGATTAGACCAAAAACCCTGGCAACTGGACAGGAAAGTCGAATTTTGGCAAGAAGTCCATTATTGCAACAGAATTTGGGAAATCAGCTAAAACTTACAAAAACAGCCTCCCCCCCTTTTTTTTTCTTAAGACTACAACTCATATTGCTCTTAGACTAGTATTCAATAAAAAATAAATTATTTAATAGATTATTACGCTGCCATTTCCATCTGTATCAATACTGAGACAAACTTATTCAAATATAATTTAAAATAACACAGCAAAATACCCATTAACATACATGACAATTAAACTGCATACTTCAAACTGAGTAACCAAAACACACATTTATCACAATCACCATTTACACAGAATAAACTTTTAACAGCTGTATTCAGAACATATTATTTTAAGGTATACCAATTTTAGTTTGTATCAGATTTATTTAAAAGTTCTGGTACCAAAGGGTTTATTTTTTCTTTTTAAAGAAGCGATCCCGTACGGCCATATCACACGTTTGACTTAAACATTTGTATAACACTTGCATTAACCAGTTGCAACATATGTACCCTGTCAATAGAATGTCTCTCTTATACGCTTATAGAACATTTGGACCAGATTACACAGACATGGTATCACCTGCATTTGTCAGAACTCAAAGACTCAAAATATTTATACTACTTCATGTTAAAGGCATGGCAAAATTTTGACCGGTCTATTTGAGTTCCCAAAAGTCATATCAACACAGGTAAAAACCTTTGTCCATGGTTTTCTGATCCTACATTCCATGACCAAAATTTCAAACCCACTTCTGCACAGTTTGGGTCACAATCAATAAAAATCTCAGCATCCCCATACAACAATTGTAAATTTTGCTCTCTATAAACATCTACATTTACAACATAAATTCTCTGCAACAAACACACATGGCAGAAAGAATGTGGTGTTTGACGTTTTGAATGAAGTGGCTTTTTGTCCCAATATGTAAATAAAGGACTCATATAAACAATCATACAGCCCACTCTCATGAAAAAGTGTAGTGGGCTTATAGTACTTTTGTCCAAGTATAAAAATAAAGGGCTCATTCTGCAAACATACATGCAGAGAAATCATGTTAGTGCTAGAATTTGTAGCCCCCCCTTAAATAACCTTTATGTTTTTCTTTTATTCATCATCACCTTTACATTTACTTTTGACATTCCCTCAATTAAGACTTTATGCTTAAAATCAGCGTTGCACATCATAAAATAGCACATAAATTAGCAAGCTGGAGTAATGCCAAACATCCATCATACAAGGTTTAAACAATGGTTTAGAAAAAAAAAAAAAGGGTTAAAAGGGAACTTTTAACCCTTTTTTTTTCTAAACCATTTTAGTCTGCAAAACCCACATGTACATGTACATTACATTACATGACATGACATGACAGCCTGCCAAAGGCTTGAAAATCATTTTACCACCTGCCAAAGGTGAACCTCTACCAAAGAGGGATTGTCTACCATAGACAATTGTATACAATACTGCCTGCCAAAGGCTTTCCTCCAACCCAAGGAGTAAGAGAAGTCTACCTAAGACTTAAAAAAATACCATGTTTATCAAAGACACGATGCAGTAAAAATCCCCTTTAAAAATGTAAATAGTGAACAACCCCATTGTTCCGATTGCCTCCGGTCTAGCAGGAGGTTGGATCGCTTGGATGTCCTGGTTCCCAAAGTCAGAGAGTCGAACGGTGCTTCAATCGGTAGAAACCTGTAAGTGTAGAATATCTCACTAGCTATAGTAAAGCTAGGATTCCCGGATCCCTACAACATGAGTCGAGGCTGCGAGTTGAGGGTCAAAACGAACTGGCTTTAATGGCACACAAGCATGGCAATTTATGCAAGTCCCCAGGTCCAGGGACAGCCCCCCATGGACCTGATGGGATACAGGTACAGTACAAAGATTCAACCAATCATAATACAATGTATTATTCAAACTAGTACCCGCCCAGCTTGGAGATAATGAGGCCAACGGTTATACAATCTAATTATCTCCAAGTGCCCAAAAGACCATGCTTTATTGTGTCCTAGAAAACAGCATAAAAATACATAACTTTAACATTTCAGGGGGAATATAGTTCATTCCACTATTCATTCAGCAGCTCAGATCTGGGCGCATCAAGTATACGAATTTTGCCCAGATCCCACAAACTGAACAGGAGGTTTCTGCCATATAAAGTCTTATTTGGTACTTTGGTGGATCACCCCTGATGGCAGCCATGTTTTGAGACCGGTCAATGGACAGCGGGACCTCGACATGGAGCAGGGGGTCGGCTACAGAGGTGCATGAATCCCCGCTCTCAGTCTGGTTGTCCTGGTCATTCGGGAGATGAAGGGCGACCGTCTGGAAGGGGGTACTTAACCTGCGATTAACCGCAAGAGCCGCGTTCTAATTGATGCCACACGCCAGAATGCAGGTGGTCCTTGTTCGTGAGGCTTTCAGCAGTTTCCCCTTAGGGGAATTACATACGAACGTGGGTCCCCTGGGACCGCCCATTAGTTGGTGGTTAACTGCAGACCACAGCACCTTGTGCGGTTAATGAGCGGCACACTCCGCCCATAGGGTGGTCGGTCATTCGGTACTTTTAGAGGTGATGGGGTTAAGTGGCGGCACACGCCAAGGACTGGGTGGTCCATCGTTCGTACAGACGAATAGGTCTTTATAATAGTTTGTGCAATGCGTTCGTATAGTCTGGATGCTGACATAATAAGGGTTTTAATCAAAAGAAGGTTGTGTTGTAATGGTATATAGAGTTCTTGTAACACCCATTGAAATAAGAAATGCAGGGGGGGTAAAGAATTAAGGTCGTAAAAGACACTAAACCCTCTTACCTGTCATTTCCGTTCCCAATTGCACCCAAACTTCTGACACCAATTTGTTGGGGATAAAATCAGCCCGGGCCCTTTGTGGATGATGGATATTTGCCAACTCATTCAGAGCTCTGGAAATTGGAAATGAATAGCAGAGACGTGTTCAATAACCAATTCAAATTCCTTTATTACGCAAGTTATATTTATACCCCATTTTCATAGCAGGATGGGAGGGGAAAAATGAGCATATGGGCATGACAATAATGACAATGAAATAATGTGGGGATATTTATGGGATGATAATATTAAACAGTCGAGAATTGCCCACTATTTTAATTCTCTTAGATCTTAGAGATCGTTTATCATGTAAGTGAAATTAATTCCATACAAATAAAAAATCACAATGTGTTATAAAAATAGATTTAATTTATTGTAACAATTAATTAACAATAATATTAGGCAGCATGCATGATAATAATCAGTAAATATTTAGTATAACATAAGTATGCAATACAATGGAATGGCTATACATGTTCCAATGGCTAACAGCATCATCTGTCACTTAAGATTTATGAGGGTACTTCATGGACAAAAGTAAAGCTTCACACAGCGAAAAGCCATAAAACCTTGGCTAACAGTTAAATCAACTGAGTAACCCTTTCAATGCTGGCTAGATCCTCCTAGGCATATAATATCCTATTCTCATGTAGTTTTCAATTTAAAATAACATTCAAACCAGTTTATTAGTCATTTCCTGGAACCATCCAATAAGAATAATCTACCATATTTTTACAAAAGCCGAATTTTAATTTGCCTAAAAAGATATCTTATCTTATATTAGAGCAAATCAATACACCTGGATAAAAACAGTGGTATGCTAACATGTGATACTATCACATTAATATATAATTATTCTTAATTCCACCTGCAGAATGGAATATTTATAACTATATATTCTTTAGTTAACTAAGATTTCTAAATATTGAAATCTGACCGTGATTTATCCAGTCATATATCATGCTATTAGTAAATTTTTATTAATTTAAAATAATTAAATAAAACCAGCATAATTACCAGTTATGTAGATATTCTCATCAGATAAGTAGGTAGTCCCAGAAACTTGATTGGTTGTATGGAGGTGCGTGAATAATAGAGAAAAGTGGTGTTGGTTAGAAAGTCAGAGTAAAATTCTAAGTGTCAAAAAGTTAAGAGTTGAGTGTCCAAGAGAGTTTAAGAGTAGAGTGTTAGTCCCAGAGAGTGTTTCTTGAGTCTCTCTCTCTGCATGTCCAAATCTGATTGCCCAAACTCTCAACTCGCTCTCTCTACCAACTAACCTCTCTCTTCCCTTTGTCCTAAGGGCCAGACTCTCTGTACATCATTAGTTGATAAAGCCAATAGGAAACCGTGTGTGTTCAATCTATGAATCGCAATTTAGGTATTGGGTCCATAGAGGGCAGTCTCGCCTTACTAAACCTTCCTATCCAGGAAAGAGTTAACTTTTCCTGATGACGATTTTGACGTCATTTGGCTTATCTAAAATGACTACCATAACTTAAATTTGCTGTCAGTTCAAAGCGTTTGTCTCAGTCTTTGTGGCAACTACTTTGATTGCAATTTGTAAAATTGACAGTTCTAAACTCAATTTCACCCATTACTTACAATGGGACCTTGTAAAATTTAGAAAGTAAAATTAATTACTTAGTCTTCTCTGTCACTAGTGTCTGTGTTTATATAATGCATTCCTTAGCTCATTCCTTAGCTAGTGGTTAGTGAAAACAAGGAAATTATATGTCTTTGTTATCCTGAAGATAGCAAAATGGAGTCGGCTCTGTTCTGAGTGACTCTGGCAATATACACTTTTAATTTCTATTTTAGCACAAAATGTCTGCCAATATAAATATTCTGACAATAAATAGTTTTTCACAAGTTATAAGCAGCTGCTTCTCGTTATCCTACGTTATATAATGCATGCATATTTGACCAAAGCCAGATATTTACAAACACCAAAATCTTGGACAATTAACAAGAACATTTCAAAATCAGATACATTTTATTTCTGAGAATCGGAGATACAATTCCAAATTTATTCTTGGTTCAAATTAACCCTTATATGAACAGCTAGGATAGATAGTGATGGATATTTGTATCTACAGGAACCCGACTGTACCATACGTGCTGGAGCTGAAGGACCGGATGGAGTCATTGGCTCAGACAGCGCACAAGAACCTCCAGGTGGCTCAGCAGCACCAGCGAGTATGGTACAACCGGAGGACTAGGCACAATAGTTTTCAGGTCAGACAAAAAGTTATGGTACTTAAAACTACAGGCGACAAGGCAGGGACCTTACAAGGTGCGACACTACTTACACTGTAGCCAGCTGTGAGAATGAGTAGAAAATGTGATAATTCCACCTAACAGCAGTGAAAATATATAAAAAATAATGATACTCCAGAAGCCTACCGCAGCTTCCCAAGGTTACCTCCCAGGTGGTAATTACTCTTGACAGCTATGTATACACACAAAATTTAGGGTTCTTGCTGATAGACCTATAGGAAAAATAATAACATGCAATATTGTCTAATAATCAAATAACGCATAGTTTTGATTGCACTCATGTATAGAGTTGATTTAAATACCTCAAGGGTGCCACCCTCGATAATAGGGGGCTTGAGTTCCTCCCTCGGACTCCTCTCTGGACTGGTTCTTTTAGTTCCCACAAACGATTTACCATAGAATTCTTCAGTAAAAAGGGATATTTATTGTATAAAAATAAAATGATGAACAAATATAAAAGAACTAGAAAAGCTAAAATTTCTGGGGAAATTGTGTGAAGTGTTCTTGCCTCCACCAGCATTCTACAACTGGAGTGGGCGGAGTAACTGTTATCATTTATATAGCACATTTAATTGCTATAATTATATTGTGAAAACTATGAGGACTATGGCTTAGCCATTGACATGTTTAGTGGCAGCAGGGATGGATAGCTGAACATTTTAATATAAGATTTGTGTAGGTGGGCCTGAAAATAAGGGAGTGGTGGCAGTTTAGAAATCATGTCCTGATTTTTCAGCTTTTGCCAGCTCCCACTCTAGCTTTGCCATTCATTCCTATGGGACAAATTGTGCCACAAGAACGACGATATTCCGTGAACCATTCGGCGAAACGTTCCACAAAGTAATAGCAATCCGATCGGGAACAATCTGCACGTTTTGGTAAATTTTTGTCTATGTAGTGTAAAAACTGTGGGAGGAGTTAGGGTGGCAAATTTGGCTATAATAAGAATAAGAATAATATATATGTGAGATAACATTAAGTGGTCTTGCTATGCAAGAACACTTAATAATATATATGTGAGATAACATTAAGTGGTCTTGCTATGCAAGTACACTTAATAATATGGTCGTCCTACGCCTTTCGTTCTCCCTTGAGAACTTCCTCAAGGACCCATATAATACATACAGAGATAATCTCTTACAAAATAAATCATAGCCTAACTGTTAGGATTACTAGTTGATCCAGCACGCAGAAATAGCATCCCACCTAGGACTAAGGATGACGTCTAACCGGACCTTAGAATGACCGGACTTAACATACCCAAGAATAGTCAAAATACTTGCCGAGGTCAGGGATAGAGAAAGAGACACAACGATGAGGGAAAGCCAAATGTCAAGGATACCAGAAAACAGGGAAGTCAAAATGAAGCCAAAGTCAAAAACCAGAATAATATGATCAGGAACACACTCTCGGATAATCAGCAAAGGGAAACCACGACTGGGCACTGACGGAAAGGTAATTTGGGTTTAAAGACCCCTCCTTTGGCTGTAATTGCCTGCCTCTGACCTCTGACCCCAAAATGTGCGTGCGCGTCTATGACGTGACGTCGCACGCACGTTGGCACCATCTTTGGTGTGGGCAAAGGGAAGTTTATTACAAAAATCCGAACTGCATCGGTCGGCGCTCTTAAGAGCATCTCATCCACTGGGGACCGGACCGGAGGGAGGTCGGGCAGTGATCTGCCGCGAACAAGGTAAGTAAAATTTGTTTCTGTCGTCGTGGTTGCTTACTTTATGTGCAACCACAACTACAGAATCACCAGGAGCTGTGACACGAACAACCCATCCCCATAGTTTAATTTATATGGGGCTAACCCCTAAGTCCTTATTGGTGGGTAGGTGGGCATCCTTCCTTACATCATTTTAATTTGTTGGCTAGGGGAGGGTTTGACCACCTGGATGTCCTTTTCCCCGAACTTGGAGAGCAATGAAGAGTCCCAATTCAGCAACTACCGATATTCCTGGAAGTGTAGAATATTCCTGGAGCTCTGAGCAGAGCTAGTGATTAGCATTTCCCTACAACACGAGTCGAGGCTGCGAGTTGAGGGTAAGAAAATCTGGTTTATTGAGCACAAAGGCTCAATGTATAGAGTTGATTTAAATACCTCAAGGGTGCCACCCTCGACTATAATAGGGGGCTTGAGTTCCTCTGGACCTGATGGAACACAGGGACATAAGGAACATAAACCAATCAGAATAAAGTGCATCTTTCTGAACCCTCCCCTCTATCCAGAAGATAATTGGCTTAAGTGGCTGTAGTAACTTAATTATCTCCAGGTACAGAAAACATTAAGTTGAAACTGTAACAAAAACCACATAATAATACATAACTCATATTATACAATATTCAACCTCTATGTTCAACATATCTCCGGATAGCTTGGATCTAAGCGCTCAATATGTCTGAAAAGCGTTTAGATCTCACAAATCGTATATTTAGAAACGAACGGATGAAGGTCTGGAAGTCCCAGCAGGGTTTGTGTAAAATAGTGGCTGAAAATGGTACCATGTGGTCGACGACAAACCTTGCTGGGCGTCCGGCAGTTAAAGATGGCCGCCACTACATGTTCGTTTATACGAATGACGACCACCCAACCGTTCGTCAATTAAACCGAAGCTTCTGTGTGGCTAATATGTGGCACACTCCTCATGCAGGGTGGTCGGTTTTTCGACCTTTTGTTCAGTGATTTGGAGGTGAAAAAGGTTAACAAGGCAAACTGCAGCTACTGGGTGGCTAATAGGCGGCACACTCCATATGCCGGATGGTCGGTCATTCGTTCATATGAATGACCTGGTGAAGTACTTTTGTGGATTATGTAGAGGAAAGGAACAGACACAGTGTAGCAAAAGTGGCAGACAGAAGGTACTTGTAACACATCTTGTGCCAGCCATCTTCACTTCTTGTTGATTCGTTTTCCAGCCGCTGATTTTGAACTTCCGTCGGAGCTACTATGATGCACTTCTGTGCATTTCACATCTGGGTAGAATAAGGATGGTCGTGTGTTCCAGACTTGTGTATATCTGGAACAACATATTCCCCCTTGTGTTCTCCCAAAGAGGAAATGAACTCTGCAATCTAAAAACAAACTTGCATTAATATTCTAATGTGAAAAAATGTGCCATATACTGATAATGGCACTATTGTAATAACCAGTTCTTCTTTCTAATTAGTGAAGTTACTGTGACGAAGTGCCCTTCACCACTTGTTCTTGGAGAGGACTAATGGCTTGCCTTTTGCCTTGTGACTATGGCCCCTGGGAGTTGCTATTGCCATTTAAAAGCCTTTATTATTGGCTTTTGTACTTTGGAGACTGTTTCTGGCCTTTTAAATTGTATTTCTACAATTCTGCATGTGGCGAAAATAACCTCACCACTGGGTTTTGGAGGGGCCTTTTGTCAGCCTTTTGCCCTGTGACTATGGCCCCTGGGGTGTATTACCATTGAAAAAGTCTGTTTGGGCTTATTGGATTTTAAAACACTTTTTTCTGCCCCTTTAAAGCCGTGGAAAAATATGCCTCTTCCCCTCCCCCTTTTTCCTGTCCTATTGTTCTCTAGCAGGGCGTTGTCCCAGGGACACTGCCAGACCAGTTGAAACTGGCTGCTTTGTCTCTCCTCAAGCTCTCATCAGCCCTTGCTATTGTTTAACTGCATAGCGTTCCAACTGTATTCGTGAGATCTGAGCACTTTTCGGACATATTGAGCGCTCAGATTTAAAGCTATCTGGGGATATGTTGGACATATAGGTTAAAAATTGT